AGAGAGAGAGGGTTAAAGTACATGTACATGTAGTGTTGTAGTTTTTAATAAAATTTTGCTTAGGCTCATATCAGTGGATTTTTAAGTTGCTCCAAATTTTGATATAACATCATGTACTATAGTACAGGCTATTTTTGTCAAAAATGACTAGGAGAGAATTCTCTGTTTTTATAATGTTTCCTGATGCATATACATGTTTTTATGTTGTGTAGCAAGTTTGAAGTGATTCTGATCAAATTTGGATTTTTTACGAATTTTTAAAGTTGCTCCAAAATCAGGCCAAAGTCACTGTACTACATGTAGGATACTGTACTTAGTACTTTTTACTTTGTTGGAAACTCAAAAGTATTTGTCGGAATCAGCTCAAACTTTCTACAGAGCATAAGTACATCAATATGTATCAGAAAATGTAATAAAAATTGGGGGTCATTTTGGAGCCATTTTTTTGGAAAAACCATGGGCTATAGCCTTGGGTATTTTTCAAAATTTTGCCATTTTCTTAAAATGGTTATAACCTGAAAAATTGAAGTCAGAATCAGCTCAAACTTTCTACACAGCATAAGGACATCAATATGTATCAGAAAGTACTTAACTAGTTTTTTGTAGAACCCTCTCCAATTGGGATCTTGAGTTTGATCGTTGGGCCCCATCAGTCGTTCGTGTAGTATGGAAGGTACACCTTGCCCCTCCCCTTCTTTTAATTAATTATAATAATCAATAGGGACCTCCCCTTGTCAGACGTAGCCTTGCGAATCAAATCAAGTCAGTCAGGTTTAACGTGTTACTGACCACCTATGAGTACGTCATGAAGGACAAGGGTCCACTATCAAAGGTAGGTGTGGTTAATGTTTGATCATGTGACTATCACATGTACATGTAGACGAAATGGAAATACATGATTATTGATGAGGGACACAGAATGAAGAACCATCATTGCAAACTGACACAGATATTGAACCAGTACTACGAAGCACCACACAGGCTCCTATTGACTGGTACTCCTCTACAGGTTAGTATACTGAAAATATACTATGAAATTTACTGAAAGTATACTAAGATTTACTGAGAGTATATTGAGATTTACTGAGAGTATACTGGGATTTACTGAGTTTTACTATTTTTAGAACAATCTCCCTGAGTTATGGGCTTTGCTTAATTTCCTCCTTCCAACCATTTTCCAGTCCTGCAATAACTTTGAGCAATGGTTTAATGCACCTTTTGCAATGACAGGAGAAAAGGTGACTTGATTAATAACCATTAATTAACTATTAATTAATTGACTATTAATTATTGATAAATATTTATTAATTAGGTTGAGCTAAATGAAGAGGAGAAGATTCTAATCATAAGACGTCTTCACAAAGTTTTGCGGCCATTTTTGTTGCGACGATTGAAGAAGGAAGTTGAAAATCAGCTACCAGATAAAGTATAATTAAAAATAATATTAATTTATTTATTTTATTTTATTTGTTTGTTTATTTAAAGGTTGAGTATGTTATAAAGTGTGATATGTCGGCACTCCAGAGACAAATGTATGTTCACATGCAAAAGAAAGGAATCCTACTAACTGATGGATCTGAAACCAACAGGAAGGTATGGGAATGGAAAATAAGAAAAAGAATGAAAATAATGTATATACATCTATATGTACATGTATATGAAATAGATTTTTTGTATATACAATTTAAAATACATTGTAGATACATTGCAGGTAGGATTGATTAATTATCACTTTCTTTTCCCTCTCTCTCTCTCTCCTTCTCTTTCAGGGTAAAGGAGGTGCCAGGGCCCTCATGAATACCATCATGCAGTTACGTAAAATCTGCAACCATCCTTTCATGTTTGAGGAGATTGAAGACGCCATTCTAGAGCACCAGGGCCTCTCGGGGAACACTCCTAATGCCTCCATTGCTACTACAGCTGATCTTTATAGAGCCTCAGGTAAATTTGAGCTCTTGGATAGGATGCTGCCGAAATTTAAGGAGACGGGACATCGAATATTACTGTTCTGTCAGATGACACAGTTGATGACTATAATGGAGGATTACCTCCAATGGAGAGGTAAAGAGAGAA